ACCCCACTGCATTGTGTGCCTATTGGGAGGAAAAGTGGGTGGATGGGACGGGATGGGGGGGATGGGTGTACCTCATCCCAAGGGGGCCTGTCCTCTCCCGCAGGTGCTGATCCCCCTCCTCACGGGCCAGGCGCTCCCGGCAGAGAAGCTGGAGGAGGTGATGGAGGGCCTGGGGGTGTCTCTGAGGCAGCTGGAGGGGATGTTCCTCCAGGAGAAGCCCTTCCTCGTGGGCAGCGAGGTCTCCCTGGCCGACCTGACGGCCCTGGTGGAGCTCATGCAGGTAAGGCTCTCTCCTCCAAGGCTTCACCTACGCAGTCCGGGACGCCACTTTTCTGGCCATGATGAACTCTCTGGTTGGAAGAGGAGGGACTTCCATAAGGGAGGAAAGCGTGTGACTTATCACAGCAGAAGCTTTTCTCCTCGGCCATTGTTTGCAGAGGGGCTTGTTTTCTCCTGTGAGGGGTCCCTGGGAAGGAACCAGGCTTTGTCTGCAAGCCTGAGGGCTCCAACAGAAAAGCCTGCCTGGATCTCACGCCAGGAAAACGCCAATGGGCCCTTTGTCCACCTCGTTGAGCTCCTGGCCTCTCGGTTCTGGTGGCTTTGTGGTGTTTCTGGCCTGTAAAGCTCTGGAAATCCGTCTGCTTTCAATTAAAGGCTACGGCTGGCTTTGGGGGAAACGGTTCCCCTGGCAATCATCCTTTCCAGGTGCTCAGAGCCCTGCTTGCAGGAGGCAGCGGGAGGAGAGTCCATGCCTGAGGAGAGCTGTGGGGGGGGCTGGGGGCATGGGTGGGTGGACTACAGTGGGCAGCGGTCCCTCTGCCCCCCAGCTTGGGAGGGCCAAGGGGAGGAATGGGGACAGGCCCAGCAGCTGCCGCTCTGGTGGCGCTGAGAGGCCCAGGGCCCAGGAGGGCATGATACCCAGGAGCGCCCCTGTGGGGAGGCTCCCAGAGCTTGGGAGTAACCGGTTGCAAGCCATCATTTCCTTGGCACTCGCCCTGAGAGACGACATTTTTATTTGTCATTTAAAGTCCTGGACATGTTCCTTTCTGGGCCTTCCCTCAGAGTCCTTCAGCGCAGCTGCCTCCCTCCCTCTCCCTCCCCCCTTCCTCTTCTGCAGCCGGTCGGTGTCGGATGTGACATCTTTAAGGACAGACCCAAGCTGGCCGCCTGGCGCGACCGAGTGGAAGCAGCCCTTGGCAAGGAGCTCTTCTTACAAGCACACCAGCTGATTCTGAATATTAAGCAGCTGAGCACCATCCAGATCAACCCCCAGCTGAAGGAGCAGCTGGCCCCTGTACTGCTGAAGATGATGAAGTGAATAAAGAGCTTTCGGAAGGAAGCTCCCTGCCGGAGTTGTCCTGCCTCTGCCTGCTTCTGCCCAGGGACACTTGGGGGATCCGCGTGGGGCCGGCGGGAGTCAGTGGGGCAGAGAATAGTCTAGGTCACCCCCCAGGGCTCCGGGGCACCAGCCCCCAGCCTGGCATCCTCTCTGATGGTGGGAAGAGGAGCAGGAGCCGGGCCATTTCTGCCCCTTTGGTTTGGCTGCGCGCCCTGAGAGGCAAGAAGAGGGTCTGAGGGACCGCCATGCCTTGTGGGGGGGGCTGGCAAGTGGGGTTGTGTTTCCTGCACTCCTGGCTTGCGCAGAGCTGTAACAAGAGGGGGAGGAGGGCTGGAGTTTTGGCCCGGGGTGCTGGCATTGAGAGGGTGCAACAATAGTCTGTCCAAGGGGTGTAACCCCCACACACACACCCCATTGCTCTCTGCTGCTGGAAGGGCACCAATGTTTCCAGGCCCGGCTCCTCCCCAGGCAGAAGGACTGGCACCCCCCGAAAAAAGGGAGCCTCAGGGTGGAGCCCCTGCATGTCCCGCCCGCAGTGTCCCTTTCTTGAGAAGATCTCCTCTTTCCGGGCCCTCCATTCAGCTCCCAAACGCTGGGGGGGATGTGCTTTGCAAGCAGGAGAGCAAAAAGGTGGCCCCCTTTTGGGGGATGGGGGCCTTCTTGCTTTGCCTGGCGGGCCCCTGGTGGCTGAGACATCTGCGAGGCCGGCTGAGCCACCCTTCAGAGGATGCTAGTTTTTAGGCAGCCAAGGCAACTCCCTCGTGGCCCTCCA